TTTTTCTTTTTTTTTTCTTTTGTAAATATCGTCAAGATCCTATGTGCTAAGTAAAAATTCAGACCAGCCGAAATAGTTGATTTTATAGAATGAAGAAATGCAGAAAAGAAAAAGAAACGCCATTTTATATATTCAAATATAAATATCTCAAAGACGGATAGAATATTATTTTCGTTTTAATCCTTGTTGCAACAAAATTAAATCAAACTTTGCATTAATTTCTTCTGTCCTTTTTGTTTTGTTTTTCTTTCTTTCTTTCTCCTCTTCTCTCTTTCTTTCTTTCTTTCTTTCTTTCACTTCCCAATCATTATTTTTGTTCTTCATTTTGTCGATAACATGCGTTGATAATTAAACACGATATTTTTATGGGGCGTGTCTCTTTCTCTCTTTAATAATAATAATAACTATAATATATATAATTGTTATAATAATATATAATAATAATATTATAATAATAATAATAATAATATAATAATAATAATAATAAATAGTTCTTTATGATATAATATGGCGCAGTATATTTTTTTTTTTGTCGCAAAATTTTCATCAAATACACACGCCCGTTCTTTTTTTTTTTTCTTTTTTTGTTAATCGCGCTTCTGTCGCATTTTATCCGCCATTTTTTTTCTTTCGCACCAGTGCGAAAGATAAAGGTTTTATTATTTTTTACTTTTTTATCTTTATTTATTTATTTATTTATTTATTTATTTATTTAAATTTATTTATTTTTATTTTCATTTTATTTATTCTTTTCTCTGTTTCTTTTCATCATTTTTTTTGGTGTTTTGCGATTCGAGTTCTATCACGAGATGTGAATGAAATGATCGATCATTCTCTATCTTTCTTTCTCGTTCTAATTCATTCTTCTTGATATTAGCATAATCAAAGCGTATTTTAAAGGTTTTCTTATTAATTAGAGAAAACTCTTTATTTTAATCTCAATGTTCTTCATTCTCTGTTTCTGTCTACTTCTTTTCAAGTTATTTTCACATTCTGGCACCAGGTCATTCACATTTATTTCTATATATATATAAATATGTATACGTGTATGTGACGTATACATATATCCATATATGTCTAATTACATACGTACACATATACGTATACATAGATAAATATATGTTTCCGTTTAATGCATTTCCTAGCCATTCGTATTATATATTCACTATCATCGTTCTACCTAATCCCGTATAGAAAAGAAAAAGGACCCAAACTATTGCAAGTCAGCAACAAGGAGATCATTATTTCCACTCGATAGATTTTGTTTTTTTTTCTCCAATACGCATGTTATCTGAATGATTACAGTTGTTTGGGTCCACGGGACATTGGCATTTCGTTAGACAATTATACAGTTATATAGATTCTATATAAATACCTAATATGCATTCGTATAATACATACCTCCTAATATACCATTTTGTGTTTTTATTTTTTATTTCTATTTTATTTCATTTTATTTTATTTTTATTTTATGTTTTTTTGTTTAGAACCTCGTTAACTAAACGAGACGTAACTACATACGATCACACATTCTCACTTTTTCCTTTACACACATAACACATTCTTTTCATAGTTTTCATTCATTCATTCATTCATTCATTCACTCAGTCAGTCATCCTATCTTTCTCTCTTTTTTTTTTTTATTATCACGTTACATACACAAATACGCACACATACATACAGCAGGACACATACATATGTATATTGTTAATCATTTCACGAATACTTCGGGAACGTTTTCTCTTTCTTTCCTTTTTTTTTTGTTCCCGATATTTCTTCTCAATTCTAATCTTAACTGATTTCACGTGTGTGTGTGTGTGTGTGTGTTCGTTTCTGGTTACATGGTTTTTATGTGGTATGCAAATATTTTATTAGATTTCGTATTTATCATCTCTTTCATAGGGTTACGTCGAATTTTGTGTTTACTTATGTGTTGTACATCCTATGTTTACATTATTTATTTATGTCCGGCATATTGATGTGATGTAAGCGTGATGTAAAGTTGCCCTTCTTCTTCTTTCTTGTGCTTCCAAAATTCTCCTTTTCTTTATCTTTAGTCTTCATTTTCATCTTTTTCTCCTTCTTTTTCGCTATCTTCTTCTTCTTCTTCTTACTGATTTTCTCTCATAAAAGCGCATATTAATAACAAACGCACACGCTTTACGTATAACATTTGCATCGCGCGCCATTTTCTTGTTTTTTTTCTTTATTTATTCATTTAATTTAATTTAATTTAATTTAATTTAATTTATTAATTAATTTATCCCTTAATTTATTCCTTGTATGTGAAATGAATGTAAAGAACTAAGAGAAAAGATTTCTTTTTTTCTATTATTATAATAATAATTATTATATAATTATTAGTATTATTATTATTTTCTTTTAATTTATTTTGTAAACATAGAAAATCACGCAAATAATAAGAAACAAAATCAACGATGAAGAAGATGATGAAGAAGAAGAAGAAGAAGAAGTAGTAAAAGAAGAAGAATAAAAGAAAGAAAAAATAAAAACAGACGTGAAAGGAACAAATTTATAACGTAAAATTGTTTGTTTGTTTTTTTTTTTATATAATATACACATATTAATTAGGATTCTTATATCCGGCTAATCAATCATTATTATTATGATTTTTTAAATTTCCATCCTATGTGTTATATATTATTAATTCATAATTATTTTTTAATTAGAGACAAGTCGCGCGCACACGCTCAGTTTATAAACGAATATGCACAAGAAGATGCGTGTTTAATTGTGTGTGTGTATGTATATTTCGCACGTGTGTATGTAGACGGTAAAGATTTTCTCATTTATTATTTTTTTGTTTTATTTTAATGCATTTTTTTTTTTTTTAATGTATATGTATGTTTGTTTGTAATTCTTCTTCTTCTTTTTCTTTTTCGAAGGGGTGAGATAGGTGAAACGAATTTTTCGTTTATTCGATCATTTTACTTTTTTTTTTTTTTTTTTCTTTTTATTTGTTTGCAATAAGATTTTAAAGAGCATTTTTCTCGTCCTTTTCTTTTTTTTATTTAAACAGTCTCAGAGTTGTTTTCGACTATATTATTATTTTTTTCTTCTTCTTCTTCTTTTTCATATTCTATGACGCAAAACAAGTGGTCTCGGTATTCTCTTCTTTCTTTTCTAATATTTTTTTCACATCTTTTTTTTTCTTTTTTTTACATATACTATTCATATATCACCGACGATCTTCCCCTTCATTTTCTTCCTTCTTTCTTTCTTTTTTTTTTTCTTTTCTTATCATCTATCGTGATTATTATGACCGATCACACCATTCACCATTTACTTCCGCGAATATAATCGTTAATATAACAACTATTTTTATTTATAAATTCTGAACGATCAAATTCAATTATAACGTGATTTCCACTACGATTCATTTCCTCTTATATATGTTGTCTTTGATAAAACCATAATTTCGTTAAATATTAATAAAATATTATCTTTGTTAATTTTTTTTATTTAATTTTGGTAATCTCATTATTTGTATTTATTAATCCTGCTTTGCAAGGCTTTTTACGTAGCCTTAAATTAATTTATTTAAAAGCACTGAAGAAAATTTCAAAGAAAAAAAAATAAAGGAATAAAAGAGAGAAAGAGAACAAAAAAAAAAACAAAAAATAAAGAAAAACGTTAGCAAAATATGAAAAGAAAGTACACGTATGTATGAGGAAATGAACGGTAGTATTCATAACGTTAATCGATAGTAGCTCGTATCCCATTCGAGGACATCGTGCAATAATTATACTCTCGTTTCTCCCACCGTCTGTCTCTTTCGTACATTTTACTTACTTATCTTTTTCTTCTTTTTCTTCTCCTTCACCTTTTCCACCTCCTCATTATCTTCCATTTTTATAATTTTCTTTTTACTCGCACGAGCAACAGTAACTCGTTTCGTTTATTTTTAACCATAGAGATGATATTTGTTTTGTATATTTCTTTCTTTCTTTCTTTCCCTTTCCTTCTCTTTTTTATACTATTTTTTCCTTTTTTTTATGCCTTTTCGTACATCTTTTTATTCTTCCTTTTTTTAAATTCCACTTTATTATCTCTCTTTCTTTTTTTTTTTTAAATCATTTTACTTTCCATTCATTTCATTTCATAMCCCCCGCCGTACCTACCAACCAAGTTTGTTACCTTTATTTTTATTTTATTGATATTTTTTAGTATTTTCTTGGACTCTGTCGTTTTTGTTGTTATTCTTAATTTTCATGTTGTACTTTTCACGCAGAAAAAGGATTGGATTTATTCGATTAAAACATGGTCACCACTCTTCCTAATATACATCTGATTTTTTCATGTATATAACACTCCAACACTGATTGATGATAATATTAATTTTTGTTTTTTCTTCATTTGAAATAATCTTTTTTGTTTTGTTTGTTTTTCTTATTGTGTAATCTCGTTTTTATAATTATGTATGTATAGATATATAGATATATATATATATATATACACACATATATATATATATATATCCATATACATACATACATATATATAATATGTATATATATATATATTATATATATATATTTATTTATATGTGAGGACCAACCTCATTGTTTTCGCGAATTGTTTAAAAGGCGAATAACGATGAGACGATTTTTCGGTTTACGGTGGCGGTGGTAATGATGATGATAACGACGATAATGACGATAACGATGATAACGACGATAACGACATTAATGATGATTAATTATTAACTATGAAACGTGTTGTAATTGTTGTTGTAGTAGTAGTAGTTGTTGTTGTTGTTGTTATTGTTGATGTCGATGCCGATGTCGATGAAAATGGCGATGACGATGGCATAGACTCTGATAAGTTTCTTTAGTTCGCTTAATAAATGTCTTGACAAAACGAGTTACGATTATAATTCCAATGTTCGAGTTAAATTAAAGCCTTTTTCACTTGATTAAGGGTGAGTCTAAATTTGGATTGGGGTTAGGCTGTTGCGAGGTCGAAGATGGTGATGGTACCTGTGCCACTACCGAGCCTTTCCCTTCTGAAAGAACATTCCCACCGCTTCCACCGCTCCCACCGCTCATACCACCAACGCCAACCCCTGCTCCTCCACCTTCTTGCATTTTCTCGCAGTAATCCGCAAATATATCACGGAAACGCGCCCATGACTTCTCCGGCACGGTTATCGCTGTTCGAAAGTTCGTTTTGACCTGAAAATTATTTATTTATCAATTAATAGATTTAATAGAGAAATAAATAAATACAAAAATATACAGAATGGGTCCTAAAGTTTCTTAATAATTTCTTAATTTATTTCTGCTTTTGGTAACTAATTTTGTTTTTAAAATGATCAAACTACAACATAGGCTTCTTCCTTATTGGAAAAAAATATTTATTAGTCTAAGAGATCTTGGAATAGAGATTAATATTTTGATTATTATATAGTTAGGCCAGAAGTTAGTTGGTAATTTAAAATTACTTACTTCTTTTTAACATTAATTTACTTAAATGAGAGATAAAACTATTAATGTTGGGTGTTATGGAGGATCAACTTACCTCAGAAATTCTCATATAGATACCACGATTATTTTGACCTATATCAAAATAAAAATTCTTCCCCTCAACACGCATGTAGCGGCCATCAGGTAGATCACCTTTAAAGCCTCCGTCATCGGTACCAAATTCTTCCAGAAGATCCGTCAACGCGTCACGAAACTCGATCATACCTTGCGCAGGTATCGCAATCTGCGTCCTAGGTCCTCCCCGTGTTATCGTTTGTGATACCTAAATAACAATTATAGTATTTAATACAAAATTAAGTTTTTTTACAACTTACATTTCTTTTTTCTCAAAACCAACAAAAAATGTCGTCACTTGTTTCGTGTTTCTTCTTTGCATTCATTCAAGAAGACATGTTCACACATTAATATTTTGTATCTTACGATAAGATTTGCAAAGATTGAGAGTTTAATCGTAAACACCGTGAACGGTACATACAGTGTGACTCACCCGCAGGAAACGACCACGAGAATTTTCCTTGAGATCCAGGTAATACCGCCTGTTGTCCTTGACCATCATTTCTGATTTCAATTTTCCATCGTCCGGCACATTTTCCGGATTAGGTGGACCTAATATTTTTATTTTCGGTTTTGAATTTTTGTTTGTTCGTTTATTTATTTGTAATTCGATTAATTGACAATAAAATGAAGGATAATAAAGGGGTTTTAATTACTACACGTTATGCCAATTAATTTGTCTCACCTAACGATGCATAATAGTCGCTAAACGTTGACAGATGGTTCCGAAACTCGAATGCTGTGCTGAGTGCTAGATATATTTGACTTCTTCTTCCGTCCGCTCCGATCTACGATTAATCGGATCAAATATTTCAATGTTTTGAAATGTTGTTATCGATAATACATGGCTGGATTGAAAAGTTTTCTGAACTATGACATAAAAAAAACTTTTATTCTTCTTTTTTGTTCAAAAAATTATAGACGAGGTGGCTCATGATTTCTCAACTTGCCCTTTACGACAGGTTGTGCTTGATAAAAGTTCCTAGATAATGTTTATTTATAAAAACAATTACTATTTTTATTTAATGCAAAATTACGAATCTAAGAATGTTAGGCTCACTTTACATATATAGAAATTTTTTTCAAAAGTGAATATAAATATACCTCGGCTACTTTGATAAATCTTCCGCGTCTATTTTGCTTCACGTCAAGGTAGAATCGTTTGCTTTGTATTTGCAACATTTTGGTCGCCAGCTCCTGCTCATTTTGCTGACTTTGTTGACCTGGAAAAGAAACCCGTGGTCACTCGTTCGTAAAAATTAAAGCGAACGCACAACAACAAAAATTATACGTCTAAAAAAACCAACAAAAGAAAAAACGTGGTCAGGAGAAATGGATAGCGGGGATGGGGTGGGGGTGTCTGACCTGCGTTAAAAGAAACCACACATATTATTCATCGATATATCTAAGAAAAATATTCAAAAAAAGAAAAAAAAACAAGAAAAAGAAAAAAAACTAAAAACCCGTTGATTTTCTTAAGAAAAATTTTTCCTGATAAAAGGCAACTTGCCTTACGTTCAAAGAATCCCATCATATCGAACACGGACTCGTCATTCGTGCCCATTTTCTTGATAAATAAGAAGATAACGATCGCGAGTAAAACCGTAGAAATGGACAAAGGGTGGGAGAGGAGTAAGACGAGGAAGTGGGGATGGTGGTAGTAAAAAATCTCTAGGGACATTCGTTGAAACGTTAGGACAGGTTTATCTCTTTTTTTCGTATATTAACTGAGATTCGACGAATCATCCTAAAGCTAAGGGGTGTCGGAAAACGTTTTTGATAGAAAAAAAAAAGGTCGGAAAGGGGCTTGTGAAGAAGAAAAAAAAAAGAAAAGAATTTTGAATAGATCACACGGAAGAGAACGCAGCGGCAGGCAGCATCCTCTTTGGGATGGAACAAGAGTAGTAACTTTGGCGTAACGGTGGAACGATGTTGCGAGTCCTCTTCGATCAATAACAGCTGCATCAGAGAGAGAGGTTGTTGACCTCTTTGGTGTACCCCACTACCGACCAGATATACCCCCACCCTTTTGCCTTTTCTCTTTTTTTATTATTATTACTATCTTTTTATATATATATATATATATATAACCACATATGCAGATATATTTCTCTTGTAGCATACACCGGAAATCTCTTATCCTCTGCTTATTCTAGAAAATCAGAATTAGAAGATTCCGATTCGTTGTTTCTAACGCGAAAGGAACTAGAACCTTTTCTTTATATATTTATTTTTCTTCTTTTTACCTAGCCTATCTACAATTGCCTTGAATTATAAACACATATACGTTCTGATTCTTCTTTATAGGAAAAAATATTCTAAGAAAAAATCAAATTATATAGAGAAAAACTAATATTGTGGTCCGTTCCCAAATAGAGAAAATAAGATAAATATATATGCTACAATCCAATATCCTTTTATTATTCCTCTTAATCTAAGAAATGTGAAATAATCCCCTATTTAATAATTGCACGCTATACTAATAGATTATCGAGCCTAAATTCACGCGTAAATATATAATATTAATTTGAGATATATTTTATTATAGACGGAATAACGATAATCTGTATATTAATAAAAGAAAGATTGACGGTGAGAGAAAATTTGAAAATGTTAGAATATCTGGACCATAGGAAAAAGGGTCCTGGGAAGATCGATCGTGGCCGTCGTCCCCAGTTGAGATCCTCTCTGCTGCGCGAAATGCGCCTTCTATGATCGATCTAAAACCTTAAGAGTTTCTCTCTCTCTCTCTCTCTCTCTCTCCCCCTCCCTAGTTCTACTTCCCCCTCTAAGCACTACGTACTGGATTGTTGCAACCTGCCCGGAATCGGGACTGGGCTGAGGTCGCCTTGAAAGATCCTGCTCTTGAACATCCTGACGATGCTTTGGTAATCCATACACCTGTACATTCTAAGCGACACCTTCCCGAATTTTTTTCTTTCTTTCTTTCTTCTTCTCCTCCTCCTCCTTCTCTTCCTCCTTGTCTTCTTCTTCTTACACCTCCTTCCTTATTTCTTCTTTTTCTTCTCTTTTGTTTTCTTTCTTTCTCCCTTTTCAACAATTATTTTAATTATTTATTATTTTCTCTCTTTCTCTCTCTCACACGTCCTTGATATCTTTTTATACAAACTTTCCCATCTCGCCAAGGATAAATTATCTCTCCTAAGAGATATATATTCTCTTCTTCTTCTTTTTTTTTTCTTTCTCTACCCTTCTCTCTCTTTCAATCAGTTTCATCAATCGGGGGGAACCAAACGTTAACCATGAGAGACGTGTGTCTTCCTCGGACACAATCGATATGTGTCAGAACATTCTTCCTCTTAATATCTTTCTTTTCGTTATCGTTTTCTATTCTTCTCTAACAATTTACCAGTACTATTACTGTTGCTATTATTATTATTAGTAGTAGTAGTAGTATTATTATTGTTGGTGTTGTTGGCGTTGTTACTATTTCTATTACTCCTCCTTCTACTACTACTATTACTATTACTTTTACTACTTCTACTACTACTACTACTACTACTACTACTACTACTACTACTACTACTACTATTACTACTACCACTACTACTATTTTTTCTTTTTACTATCTTCTTCTCTCCGATGCATGACACAGAGCAAAAATTTTGACTGAACCGAATATTCTCGGAGGAACGCACATTACGTTGGCAAATTACGATCGAATCCATCGAGTTTTCTTTCTATTTTTCTTCTCTTCTTTTTTTCTTACTATTTATCTTCAATTTTCAACCATGACTACGCCGCCATTGCTTTCCCATTACGAATCCGTCCGCCGTCATTATTCTGCTAAAGTAATTATACTCAAGAGAAATTTCTTCTTCATCCATTATTTTTGTTCATACTTTCTTCTCTATTATTACGATAACCAACCAGCACCATTTTCTCTTCTCTTCTCTTCCTTTTTCATCTCGTAGCTCCTCCTCCTACCTCTCTTTTTTGACTACAACTCCTAAGTCACCATTTATTATCATGAAACTAATTGATCCTCAGATACGACAACAAGATAATAGTCCTTTTCGTTCATCTATAAATTAAATGTTCGTTCCTTTTCAATTAGCTACCATCATCTCGTTCCGTTCCATCAAACACTTTGCCAATTGACATGTTTGTATATGTGTCCTTTGTTTCTTTCCTTTTTTTAATATGAGAGAGAGAGAAGATATATGTTTTATATTCAATTCCTTGTTTTGTATTTCCCCAAATTTTCTTGAATTACTATTCGAAGGACTCTTACAAGAGCTCGTGTCTTCTCTCTTTCATATTTTCTAGCTTCGTTTTATCGCGGCGTAGAAAATTATCGGTTAAAATATATTTCAAAATGTCAGGTGAATTTTGTTTTTTTTCCTGATTTTTATAACAAATAGAATCAACACCTCGACGTTTTATCTTTTCTTTTCAAAATATCAAATTAATATATATATCTATATCTATATATATATGTATATATGTGTCTGTATATATATACATATATATATATATATATATAAAACAACACGACGTGGACCGAAAATACGCGTATGGTAGACTACGAGGAAAACGATCGGAACGAGTGCATTGATCTCTGCGCCTGGAGCGCGACTCGCGGCGCTGCACCGACCTGCCTCAATGCGAACTGCATATTTCTCTCTCCCTTCCTCCCTACCCTAATCCTCCCTCTCTCCCCTATGCCGCTTCTCCTTTCTTATACCAATCGCGTCTGCCCCCGCAACTTCACCTCCGCCACCTCCGCCACCTCCACCACTATCCTCGATTCCATATTACCTACCCCACGCACCCCAACCACCATACACCCTTGATTTTCTAACATAAGACAAGGACCCAGACTAGCCACCTCAACTTTATCCTCAACCTCAACCTCATCCTCATCGTCGTCATTTTTTTCAACCGTGTAATCAATACATTTATAGAGGACTATCTACTAGCTTAGGAATTTTTTCTTTTTTCCTTTTTTTTATCCTCTCCTCCTTTTGTTTTTTTTCAAATTGACCCATTAAATCACCACGTCACGATCAAAGTCTACTAAATTGTGTCGAGAGAGTGAGAACTTGTCACCGGTCGCGAGTGTTCCCCTCCACCACCACCACCATCACCACCGACCTGTTCTACGACGACAACTAACGACAACACTTTTACGTTTTTTTCTTCTAATAAATTTGCACAATTAATTTACACATCGATACGATGTATTTATGTAAAACAAGAAGATAGATAAGTGATGTTGTGATAGAGATATACGTGGAGCAAATCCTAACGCGTTTAAATTGTTGCAATTAGAAAAGTACTAATAGAACAGTCGTTCCCAAAAACTTGGACATACAACTTGGAACTTGGGTTATAATTTCGTCATATTTAAATCAGTAATTAAACGATGTGATGAGTTGTGTATTGAATATATAATGAACATCACAATTGAAATTATTTCTATGAACAAATGCAAATCATTCGCAATATATAAATATAAATAATTTTTCGAGTTATTTTTTGAAGAAAAACTACTTCTGTATTACTCTTATATATACGCGTTTGAAACTACGTAATCTAAATCAACGAAAGTAACGTTTATTTACGAAAATTTGTATTTTTTGAAGTTATTTACACGGACGATGGATTGAAAAGTTTTAAGCTTGAACAGAAATAAAAGAACTTTTATTTTTAAATAAAAATCAGTTCAACCGTAAAGAAAATGGTTTACAATGTTAAACTGAAAACTTTTTCAATCCACGCATGTTTCGTTATTAATATTTTAACGTAATTTGTTTCTAATACAACAAATTAAATGTATAATAATGGTGATAATAATAATAATAATAATAATAATAATAATTTTAAAAAAGCAAAGAAAAAAAAGTTAATTCGGTAGAAGGAGCGAAATGAGCGATAAAAATAAATAAGCTCAAACCGGTACGTGGCTCCGTATCGCCATTGTTATACGCTCCTGATTTCGATATATCACGTGACGTCGTTTGTGTCAGCTACCTTCGGGGCACCAGTACTGTATCTTGTCCATTATGTCGCCCCAGGTATTCTTCACCGGATTCCGCCCAACCTCGCCCTGCGAAATCTCCACGATTTCTCCCATCCTCATTGTAACTGGTGTGGTTGTTGTTGTCTTGATTTATTTTTCCTTTATTTTCTATTTTTATAAGTGCCTCCTTTTTATTCTTCTTCTTATTCTTCAGAATAAAAAATCTCTCCCCGTGGCTCGTATTCTTCTTTTCCGCCGGTAAATTTTCTTCGACCACATATCACAAGAGATTTGACTTCACTCTCGATAACGTCAAGCACGGCATAGCGACAAACGATGAAATTAAACGAATAACGTCGGGTTTTATTGTTCTCTCTCTTTTTCTTTCTTAGAACGAAGAAAATCAAAAGTCACACAAAGGTATAAAAGAAAAAAAAAAAAAAAATAGAAAGAAAGAAAGAAAGAAAGAAAGAAAGAAGAGATCGATCTGTTCTCACAGTTTTTAAACACGTCTTTATAGCAAATAGAATAGTCAATGAAAAAAGAGCAGGTTAATGAAACGTCGAAATTGAATTTAGTCTTAATTCCGAGAAACAACAACAACAACAACAACAACAATAACACTTAACAACGCGGTCGAAGGAAGACATAACGCGTACTAAACGTGCGTACACAATGATCATGACGACGATGACGTCTACGACGACGACGACGACGCAAGGAGAAATCGTACGTATTTACATGCATACGTGTTTATTCTCTCTTTCTTTCTTTCTTTCTTTTTGTGCTTCTCTGTTTTCTCTTCGATCAGTCTCGCGATACAATCCCGGGAACTTTGGGGTGACTCAACAGGCAGTGACGATGACAACGACGACGACGACGAATAAGAATAAGAAGAAAAAAAAAAAAAGAAGAAAAGCCGATGACGACAATAACAGCAATAACTTTAGTAGGAAAGAAAGAGAAGAGTAGTTCTGGCAGTAAAATAACTCGTCAGTCTGCTGGTGTTGGTCGTTGACTTGACTGATATCTTTGGTACGCGGTGCATCGGTAGACTTCGGGTCCGGCTTTACCATCCAAAGATAAAAAGTGCGTTTGCCGTTTAACAAATCGTCGAGAAGGAACGTTCACTAAACGATACGAATACACCGCTACCGTCGACCACCACCGCTTCTCCACTCTTCTTCTCCTACAATTCTACTAAGTAACTTTTTAGCAGAATCTAAGCTGATAAAAACAACTTTACTAAGAAACAACACAATTTCAACAAGTCCCTCCTTCTCGGTAGGTCGACGGAATCGTACTAACGGCATATTCACCGTACGCGATCTAACACATCACTACTACTTTTTTCTTCTTACGAAAGACTACTATACATGATTTTTCCTTTCCCCGTCGTCCTCGTTCTTGTTATTCTTGTCGTTACTAATATTATTGTTATCGTTATTGTTGTTATTAATATTATTATTATTATTATTATAACAATTTGAATAATGAAAATTAAACATATCGACGAACAAATACGAGAAATCATAAAACCGGGAGAATGACGAACCGGTCATTCACGGAGCCCGCCGTCATGCCGATGGAATGCGCGCATCCATGATGTTCACGTTTGCACCGACCAATCAGGCGCAACCCAGTACCGGCTTCTGCGTCTGCCGGCCAACGCTCGCCACGTGATTTCGCGCTTTGAACCACGTGATCTGCTCTTCTTTCCCCCCACCCACCCCCGCTCTCTTCTTACCTAGCTCTACCACTCGCTCACTCTTTCTCTCTCTCTCTCTCTCTCTCCCTCTCTCTCTGTTCGTTACCGCCGCCGACTGCGGCGACGGTGATGGCGACGCGCGCTTCGCGACGCGACCGCGTGACGTCACGCACAGCTGACTGTGCTAGAGTACGCCGATGGTTTACCGTTTCTCTCCTTTTCCTATCGCCACTTTACTATCTCTCTTTCTCTTTCTTTCTTTCTCTCTCTCACTCTCTCTCTCTCTTTCCTTCTCTCTTTCTCCCTCGCTCATTGTTCATGCGCCTTTACTAGAACCCCCCCCCCCACAATACCCCCCACTCCCTTCACAATGCGAGCCTCCCATCGTTTTCATACGGGTAACTCTCTTTTTCCTTCCACCCTTCTCTTCTACCCTTTTCCTTTCCTTTTCCATCCTCATCGCTATGTAATGTTGAATAGTATATAATTTTATCTTTTAACGTCTTCCAAAATTAAATTTGATATTTATAAATTAATAATACAAAATTTCGTATTAGTGAGTATAACAATACACACACCAAGAAGTGGTGAAACGGTAAACGAGAATAGAAAGCAATCAAATGATACGCCTAGTCTCTCAAAATTACCTAATTTGTAATTTAGGTCATAGTAAAATGTGGATACGAAATACAGATCTCTCTTTTTCCCTCTCACTCACTCACTCACTCACTCACTCTCTATGCCAGTGTCGTTTCTCTACATAACCTAACCACACGTCCCACACGTTTGACTGCATAATAAGGATTCTTCGATTTATCGTACGAATCGAAGAATTCCTAGTTTTTTATCTTTAAACTATTCCAATGTCTTTCATAACCAGTGATCTTTATATATTTTAAAAATTTCGTAACAACTCGACGATCGTTAAATGTAATATTTTAGAGAAAATGTAAAAATAATAAAAAAAAAAAAAAACCATTTGTCTCGCTCGTATATTATTTCACGATTTCTCACACACCTACATAGAGATATATATACATATACATATATGTCGTATTAGCTCATAGTGTGAAGAATTCTGAGTTGGCGAAATACCAAAACGATAAAACAAACTTCACCAGAAAAAATTACCATTTTGAAAAATGTTACTAATCAACGGAATATTTATCACACCTACGTAAAATCTGTATGTGCGCGCGCGTACGAGATTCAAAGTATACCGTAACGATTGAGCAGTAACAAGGAAAACATTTTGTTTTTTTTGTATTCATACTAATTTCAATTGAATATAAAAGTTGTCCACTAAGTCAATATGCGGTTTCTTTACTTATTATTAGATAAAAAACGCACGAAATTATTGGACAATCTATTATTTTACAAGAAAAACTCTTTTCTCTTCATCGATAGAAAACTAAACTATGCGCGTGTGTATTAATATATGCATATATTAATCGAGAAAAGTTAGTTTTAACTCGAGAGAAGAGCTCACGTTTCAACAAATACTCCTTTATGTATATTTCTGCTAATTTAAGAACGATTTACTCACCGGAGTCAAAGTCAGCTCCTCCAGCATCCATGCCACCTGGATTTCCATACTCTGCCGAAAAAAAGAGAGAGAGAGAACAAAATAAAAAACTATCGTTAGAAATAAACGATCGTGGAAAATCGTTCGAGAAATGATTTGTATGTGTGCGTATAGATCATCGGAGAGATAGGAAGATAATAATTTCATTTTTAACTAGATTTTACTTAAATTTATCTTTGTCGAGATATATATAAGCAAAATAAAACAAAACAAAACAATATAGAAAAATATAAACAAATATCTCCGACAATCCTTGGAAAAATGAAAATATTTATCCTTATGTAATTTAATATGCGAATTTGATCGAAAGATTGACAGAAATAATAATAATAATAATAATAATAATAATAACATCAAATAAAATACAAAATTAAAAGGAATCGAATTTATCGATCGAGATTTGTATTGTGTTTCATGAGAAAAAAATCGATCATGATTCTCTTTTCTTGATCCTTTTAAAATGATCGAGGATAAGTCGAAGGGGGAATAGAGACAACACGTGCGAGATTTACTCGAGTCCGTTGGTCGTCGTTGTCGTGTCGTGTCGGTCGTCGTCGTCGTCGTCGCTTCACCGTCGCTAGACGACGTCGACTTTGGGAAGGCGCGCGCGCATCCTAACCCCTCTGTCATTCCTCAGCTAACCTAAGAAGTAGTGTCATGCTCATCGCAACTCTTTCTTTTTCTCTCTCTCTTTTTCTTTCTTTCTTTCTCTTTCTCTTTCTCCCTTCTTTCTGATGTCAGCATGCGCGCGCGCGCGCGCTCCTACGCGATTTACATAGCAGATCCTCGTCGAGAGGTTACATCACGTTTACTCGTCCGTACGAAACGACGAATATCCATAAAGGATATCGTCGTCGTGTCATCGCGTCGTCACATCACCGAACTGCATGTGCCAACGTGTATGCATGTACAATATGCGTTACACATATTATATACATACAAACATACACACATACACACACACAACACACACACACACACGCTTACACATTCTCTCTCTCGTATGAAGAATAATCAAAGAATTTTCAATGGAAATCGATTTAAACGTAGCTAATGGTTGATGAGTAGTAGATGATGGTGATGGTGATGATGATGATGATGTTGATGATGATGATGAAGAAGATAATAATTATTATTATGATGGAGATGATGATGATGATGATGACGATAATGATGACATGATGATGTTGATCATGTTGATGACGACAACGACGGAATTGACGACGATAATGACGACCAAAGGAAAAGAAGCGCCGCGGATAGAGGGGGAAGTAGGAGGTATCCCCCTTGGCCGTTGCGTGTGCTCGGCCATCTTGAATCCTTGTTGCCGTAGAAAAATCGTATTTTTCATGATAATTCTTCATAGAATTGGTTCGTTGGTTATTACCTTCTTGGAGAAGTGAAGGAAGAAAAAACGCTCGAGATTCGCTCGCGCGCATTTTTAACGAGAGAGAGAGAGAGAGAGAAAGAGAGAGAGAGAGAGAGAGAGAGAAAGATATAGAGAAATAGATAGATAGATAGATAAAGAGAAAGACAGAGAGAGCGAGAAATACGGAAGAGGGAGGAAGGGAAGGGAAGAGAACGCGTGGTGAGAAAGAGAGAGAGAAAGAGAGAGAATGAGCGCCTCTCTTGCTCGTTTAACCGGAGGCGCCTCCGCACGGCAGAGCACGGGGCTCGAGGCACCACACGACGAGATGTCGGCTCGCGCGGATCTGCGACACGAAAAGAGAGATTCCCCCTCCCCTTAGCTGTCGAGGCTTCCGCGTCGGTGGCGCGGCACCGATCTAACGGCGTTTACCACGCGGATACGTGCTTCGACTCCTCCTTACTTTGTGGCTGATCGTCCAGGCTCTCCCGATCGGACATTTCTCCTCTCGCGCTCCTTTTTTTGCTCGGTTCCACGCGTCGTCGTTCTCGCGATGTCTTCCTTGTTAGCAGCAGCAACAGCAGCAGCAGCAGCGGCGGCAGCGGCAGCAGCAGCAACAGACCCCTGTACGATCTAAAAGCACGCACGCACAGCCAGATTTCCTCCTTGCGGCGCTACCCCGACGTTATCACCGTGCACACATACACATACACACCAAGCAACCAACCGACCGACCGACCGACCGACCGATCCGACCAACCAACCAACCAACCAACTCGGCCAATCCAGCACACACCACTTGCGAATTTTCCACTTCTTTACACACCACGACCCGACCGCCGACCGACCGACCGTCCGTCCGTCCACGGCACCAGTCGTCACCACCACCACCACCACCACCACCTCATCCACATCCACCACCTCCACCACCGCGACGACGGCGACGACGACGACGACGACAGCGAAGACGCAAACGACGACGACAACTACTACTAACTACTAACACCACCACAACGACAGCACTGCCACCTCCACATCCACCTCCACCTCCTCCCCCTCCCCTCCGCCACCAACACCACACACACACACTCGTTCGTCCGTTCGTTCGTCGTTCGCCTACCCGCCGAGCTGCCTGCTTGCCAGCCTGTCTCCTGCTTGCGTGCCTGCCAGCCTGCCTGCTTGCCTACCCACTCGCTCTCGCTAACTCGCGGTTTGTTCGCGCTCTCTTGACCGTTCCACGTTCGCTTCTCGCTCGCTTCTCGCTCTCGCCAGAAACCACCAATCCCCTCTCTTCTTTCCGATACAATCTGCGCGAAAGAGAGAGAGCGAGACAAAGAGAACCAAATTTCGGGAAGGAGAGAAGAGAGCGAGCGAGTGAGTGAGAGGAAAAAACTGTAACGTGCTCTCTCTCTCTCTCTCTTTCTCTCTCTCTCTTTCGCGCATCTACTCTACGCGAATCTGTACGACTCCTCTTAATTGAACGACGTGTCTATCTTTTCCTTTCTTCGACATATATATATATACATATATATATACATATATATTATGCGCGCGTACCCATTTCTGAAAGAAAAATTTCTTTTTCTTTGGCACAATCCAAAATTCTCTCTATCTCTCTTTCTCTCTTATTCCGGCGTCGAATTTGATTATCACCGAGTATTTTGCTAACGTATCCTATCGTACCGTCTTCTGTCTCGTTTCGTCTCGTCCTTCTTGTCATGTCACGTCACTTCACTTAGCTTGCCCTCTATTGGTCGAGCTACGTATCATTTTAACTTCAACGGTATAGATAGTTACACTTTTATCCGTCAAACGTCGCTACTAATCGCTAAATCTTTCTTTTTTTTCGTATAACGGCACGGTTCTTAAGTGACCGGCAATATTATTTATGCCAATTCATAATCGACCAATTGCATTTCTCCGTTATGAAAGCCAATCAAACGCGGGCATTTTTCATTGGCAACCATGGAGCCTATATATAGCTTCGTTGATCGTGGGTTGATCCGGTATTACCCACTTAGCAAATTTATATGTGTGTGACTTGTATTATACGCGTATATCAGTAGTTGTGTATAATTCCATCGAAAATATAGAGCAAAGATACGAATGTGGAAACAATAAAATTCTTTGCTATAATAGAAGTTTTTAGAAATTTGTTAAAATTTGTTACTGAAGTATTTGCTTGAGCAGACGAGGAATTATCATTTCTAGAGCGGGACTTTCACGGTTAAGCTAGTATAAATGTTTTTTTCATTATGCATTATCGATGCACATATATATTGAAAATATAAAAGAACAAAAAAATTATTATGAGATCAACTGTATGTCACACTATTAAATACAATAATTTCTTATAGTAAATATTATAATATATCTCTTTAAATTGATTCAAAAATAAGATTTCTAGTTTTTCTGTGATAAGCAATTAAAATATTTTTTTGGTAAGAAAATATCGTTTTCATTATTAAATAATAATGAGTTATTATTTAAGAGATTGTTATTTTATACACAAAAATTCACCTGATTCTAATTTATAAATAATATTTTGGATCCAGTTAAAATGACTGGAAATACGTGTATAAAGAGAATACGAATTACTATTACAAGTTGTTGTAGCTGCTATTGTCGTGGCACTAATTCCTGTACTAACAATGCCTCTTAAAAACCATAAATTTCCAGTTTGAAATACCAATCCTCCTCCACTATCACCATCACAAACAGATGTTCCTAAAATAAATGTATTATACGTTTCATATTAATAAATATCACTTATAAACATGTAACATTTCACATATTGATTTTTATCTGTTACCAACCATTAGTATAACCCGCACATAGTTTGTCATAAGTTATGAACTGCTCATATATAATAGAATCATTTACAATTTTGCATTGATTAGGAGGAACATAGGGCAGTGCTGTGAATTGGAGATGAATACTTGGTGACCCAGATTCAGTATTGCCAAATCCCACAACTATCCCAAGTCCGGATTCAATAAAAGTATCATCCAAACATGCTGGTAATAACCAAGGTGTAAATACAAAAGGTACTTCGATCTCCAAGAGAGCTATGTCCCAAGCATAATTCCCTATTGAGCCCAAATAATTACAATGGACATAAATTTTTTTTACCTGAAAAATAATATATAATATACTTTACAATATTAATATGTAACTTACATCAATTCGACATTTCATAATTTATTGAACATTACATTGACTTTTTTCTTTTCCGTACCCTAGCTTTTTTAACAAAACGAAGATCATGGTTCTCATAATCATAGTCACGAATTGTATTTCCAGTTGCTATATAATATCTTTCAGGATTATTTACTCTATTAACTGTTTCATCGAAAACACAGTGAGCAGATGTAACAAGGAAATTCTCTTTTATAATTGTTGCTCCACAAATGAATTTCTTTGGTCCATTAGGATGTTTCGTTTCATACAAAGTAGCATGCCAGGGAAAAAACTCAGCTTTCTTGCCTTTTACAATGAAAGGTCTAACGTTTAGAGTTCGCACATATCCACATACTAAAATGTTTTCAAAGTAAAATTACTATGTTTAAATTTATGCAATAATAATTATACTTAAAAGTATCGAAAAGTAAGTAATATTTAATATAATAAATATTTAAGAATAATAAAATGTTGCAACCTTAAGTAAGGCGTAACTATTAAGATAAGGTTACAAATTTTAAGTATGAATTTATTTAATTTTAATTTATTAACGATAATTTTTCGGTTAATAAATTATAGCAATATTTAATGAAATAAAATTTGCCTTAAATATTCTTTTGCGTTCAGTATGTTAACAGCAATTTAAAAATTATTTAAATTTCGCATATCTGCATGTAGTAATTTTATCAAGCAAAATTTTGAATAAAAAAGAACGAATGTTATTTTTATAAGAATAAATTTTGAATGTCATATTACTTATACCGATAGAAACATTAAAGGCTAACAGACCTGGAATACATTGTATTGGATCAGGTTTCCATTGACCTTTTTCGTTACATATAACTTGATCCCTTTGTGTCGATAGGAATGTCGATTGTTTTTTATAACCGTTTCTGCAACTTAATTTAGCTATTGTTCCAGGTAAAATTTCAGATTCGCAAGATGTCCATTCATTGTTATACGTACAATCAGCAAATGTTGATGCGGAATTCAGTGACTCACAAGTTATTTCTAAAATAATGAAATATTCCTTTAAAAAGTAATCAAAATTATTACAGAAAACATAGCATAAACATAGTAATATTGAAATACTTTTTGTAATAATAATACTTCAGATGTTAATCTTACTAGTGCAAACAGGAATATTTAACCATTTTCCTTCTGGACCACATAATACATCATGGGTACCATTTTTAATTTCGTATCCGGGATTACAGGTGTAAATTAAATAAGATCCACCGGGTAATGTTACACCTTCCTTCACATCACAGTTTTCTTGTATCTGGCATTGCGACTTGTGTAATTGACGATTACCATTCACTGGCTGGGGAGGTGTTATACAAACAATGGGTTTTGGGATCAATGGGGAAGATGTCGTGGTAGTACTTGTTGAAGGTGGTATAAATGGTGCAGGTGTAGTAGAAGTCGTACTTATTACAGTTGAACCATGACATGAAGGAAGTGGTTTTGATGTTTCTAATCGGAAAAGTATATCTTGGATCCAGTCCATATGGTTCGAAATTCGTACATAAAGATTATATGAGTACCCACAACGGTTTGTAATTGCATCAAGCCCTACACTAGCAACACCTCTTAGAAACCACAAATTTCCAGTTTTTATTACAAATCCTCCTCCACTATCTCCAGCACAGATAGCAGTTCCTAGAATTAATATATTTATCACTTAGCATTATTTTTAAGTTAATGTAATATTTGTATTTATTACATACCATTTTTATAGCCAGCACAAAATTTGTCTTGCGTTATGTACTTCACTATTTCAGGGGGAGTAGCAGATATACAATCATTCAAAGTAACATAAGGCTGATTAATTGATTGTAAAATCTGACTTATGGTATTTTGATGTGTTTTACCGAATCCTGCTATTACCCCGTTTCCAGACTCAATAAAAGTTTGATCCAAACATGCTGGTAATAAAAATGCTGTGAAATCAAATGGTTTTTCAATCTCCACTAGTGCTATGTCTGATGCATAATATCCTGTCATGGCCAAATAATTACACTTAACATAAAAGTTTTTAACCTGAAAAATAATATAATTTTATAATTAATATGTTACTAATTATATATTATTAATTTTAACATTTTATATATTATTTAATATAAGAATTAGTTTTGTATTTTCAATACCTTAGACTTTTGGATGTAAGGTGAGTCATGAAATACAGAATCATAGTCACGAAAAACGTTCCCAGTTATTACATAATATTCTTTCGGGTTGTATACAGTTCGGTTGTTTTCATTAAAAATACAATGAGCAGCTGTAACAAGGATATTTTCTTTTATAATCGTTGCTCCACAAATAAAGTTCTTCGATCCATTAGAACCTTCTGATTTGTGTAAAGAAGCATGCCATGGAAATTGAGAAACTGCTGGAGTACTGCCATGTGCAATGAGCGGTTGTAGGCTTGGGGCAATAACTCCGCATACTAAAAATTAAATTAGTGAAATTAAATTAGTGAAATTAAATTATTTATAAGTGGAATAAATGTACAAAATATTTAAATGTTATTATTCTTTGCAATGTTCTACTTCTAAATATTTATTACAATATTTAATTGGAAGTAATTTACATGTGTGCAAATATAAGAAACACATTATTGCAAAGATAAAGTAAAAGATTTTGAAAAGAGATATATTTAATTTAATACTTTAATTATTTACTTTAGTAATCAATAAACTGCTAACTTAACATTAATTAAGAAGGAGGAGAGTTATTGTGGACATTTCACTAATATCCTTAATACAAAAATTGAGAATTAGCGAACCTGGGACACATTCTATTGGGTCTGGTTCCCATAAACCTTCTTCATTACAAGTAACTTGATTTCTTTGTTTGATTAAGAATTTCGTTTCTTCCCGATAGCTGTTACGACAATCTATTGTTGCTGTCGTTCCGGGAAAAACAGAAGATTCACAAGATATCCGTTGACCATTATACATACACATGACATTTCTTGACGGTGATAACAATGATTTACATCGTATTTCTAAAATGGTAAAAGATCTATTTTAAAATAATTGAAAGTACTAGGAAAGACATTATATATATGCTACCGGAATATTGGAAAATCCGACATTGTGAGCTTTTCCTATGCATTGCCCACAATTTCAGGCGTTTTTAGGAGACGTAAATATTGTGGGCAATGCCTAGGAAAAGCTCACGATGTCGGCAGGTCTCACTTTTCCTATAACATATACATATAACAGTATTGCTTTAATAGTTTTTATAGGAAAACTTCAAATATTAATACTTACCAATACAAAGTGGAATATTGAACCAATTTCCACCTGGACCACAAAATACATTAGGCGAGCCACTTACTTTGTAACCAAGATTACAATTGTAAACTAAAAAGGATCCAGCAGGTAATTCTGCACCTTCCTGCACATCGCAATTTTCTTTTGTTTCACATTGTACCTTATGTAATTTCCGATTTCCATTGTCAGGCTGTGGAGGTGCCAAGCAAACATTTGCTTTTGCTGCACCACTTGAAGGAGGTATGAATATCAATAAGACTATGAAATTAAAGCAATTGTTTAATTATCTAATCATTTGTTAAGTAAATTTCATGCAAAATCACGCAGAGTAATAAACAAAAACATTTTAAGAATAAAAGGGTTCGTTCTTATTAACTCGTGGATTAACGTATGGGTCACGAGCTCGCCATTACTGTTTGAAAAACATCTTATAATATTTGTTTTTTTTCGTTTGTTATAAATAATATTATTCTTCGAGTTCAAAGATGTTTTATAATCATACATATATATATATATATAAAGCTGGCTTCTTTATCCTTATAACCAGTGGCGTCTTATATGAGCGTATTAAAACATTTATTAATCTATTATTTTATGTAAATATTATATATTTGTTTTTTTTTTTTAATAAAAATACACTCTTTTAATTGTGATGATACGAAAGAAAAGTTTCTTCTTCATATATGTAAACCTATATGCAACATTTTTTAGATTTAGTTATTACTGAATTTAATTTAAACAAATTATTATTTACATACAAAGAATGTAATATATTTTAATAAGTAAATTAACGTATTTTGAAGATTAAAGTTTCCTTATAAGTGTCACTTGGGTTTTTCAAATTTGATAACCTTTCGCAAGAATGTTTGCTAGGTCATTGTGACGTTATGGCATATCCTATCACTAATATATATATATATACAGCATGTCTCAATTAAAAATTTTAATGATATGAACTTTGAAAATACACGAAGAAAAATAAGTAAATAAATAAATATGGAAGAAAGGATTGGATGATGAATTTATCATTTAAATGTAATTTGAAGTTAAGCTTTTATGGCGCCATAATGTGATAAAATATCGAGGTAAAAGTAAAATTTAGATGCGCTTTTAATTTATAATAATTATTTTTAGAATTTATATTATCGTTAATAATCATTTTTTGTATTTTTGTATACTTACAGCCACATGTAATTAAATATAAACACTTTCTATCTACGATTTTCATAATAATCAAAATGAAAAATTATAAAATTAATGTTTATATGAGAATAATATTTGAAAATAAAATTCCGTATCGTGTTGTCTGGCATCAACTAGTATTCACCACAGATCGTGCGTCAATCCGGTATTACCCGGATTTAAACACGTTTATATGTTTGTGTTGTGTAGTGTACGTGTTATTGATAAACTTACACTATATCACGCTGTGTTAATATAGAGGAAAGATACAAATGTAGAAATAATAATATTCTTTGCTATAGTAGAAATTCTTTGAAACTCATTTAAAATTGTCTTTGGACATGAGATTAAGCAAACGTCGTTAACTTAAGTCATTTAATTTAAGTTTCGTATAGTAAATTACATGTTATTTCTTTCGAATCGTATTAAGGGAGATAAGAAACATTATTGAAAATTTATTTGAAATAAATATTTTATTTTAATATTCATTTTGTTATTAGAGATTGTTACTATGCATTGTGCTATGATAAAGAAAAAAGAGATATATAAAGCGTAAACGAATATAACACAAACACAACTTTAAAGATTAACCAATGGAGTTGCACCGTCAATTCTAACAGTATCACTCAAAAATTTACTTGTATTATTTTTTCTTTGCAAATAAATTGTTTTAATTGACCTGAACTTTTTGTTTCATATAGAATATCGTAGCATGCAAGTCACAAATATGATACATTTGTCGATATAAATGCAAAGAACGCAATGTCAGTTTGTGTATTAAAAATTGTTTCAAGTCTTGTTATATCAAAATTATACTCTAAAAAAAACTTTCTTTTGTTATTTAATTTAGGAAAATAATAATTATAATTTATTAATAGCTGGACCTAATTTAATCAATCATTGTAACTCACCATAGCAATAAAGTATTCCATTTCTACGAAGCAGTTCGGCCAAGAATATTCACTACTCAATGAGTTAAAGAGATGTTTATAACATTGTCGTGTGCTATAAGAGATTTTATACTTTAAGTACTTAAACATGTCCTACCGACTATATTTAATATACGTTGTTATTATTTACTTTCCCTTTTATAGGTTTGAGAAACCATAACATCTTTTCACATCTCTAACATCTCTTTCTGAAGTCAAAATATTGTGTACTAACTGTGTCCATCATTGTTTAGCTTTAGTGATTCAATGAAAACTAGTTTTTAAAACGAGGCGAGGCAGTTGACAAATTATTATATATATGTATATTAATATTATTAATTATATATATACACAATTCATATAAATTATGATATCGTTAAAAAAGAAGGATTCGGATTACTATTTCTTATGAAACAACAATTAGCTTTCAATAAATATCAATTTACAGTAGTTTCTACAGTATCTGTAGTACCAGTCGATTTTGTCGATAGATCAGGAGGTGGAACTGTAACATTTTCTGGTGGTAAAATATATGTTTTCTCCCCTACTTCTCTTGGAGGCATCCAATCTGGTATAATCTTTGCGTGAAGACGCCATTTTCCATATTGGTTTGCTAAATGATTTTCAAATACGATATATTCGAGAACATCTTTTTTTAAGATTTCGCTTCCTTTCAATAAACGTCCAAACCTATCATAGACAGCTAAAATCTACAAAAAAAAGAAAAATAATGTTAATGCTATGCTGTCCGATGATACTACATTGGTATTAGAAACAAATGTATCGGACAAACGTCAGGTGCCAAACATTAAGGTTTGATTACATCACCGAATATATTTCTCTAACATAGTATAGAATTTTTTAACCTGTTGACTATGAATACGAAGAGTTAATTGTCCAAAGACGTTTTCCTTAGAAAGCATCTCATTACATCTTGCATGTACAATACGATGTGGTTCTAAAGATTGCACATATTTCCAATGAATAGTTTTGTCCATAATGTTGTGTAACATTTTCTTAAATTAATTATAATATTTATATTAATTTTAATTTAAATAATATTAATAGCAAAAGTAAATGTATTACAAAAATACTACTTACGGCATAAGCACTCTCTGTAACATATTCTCTCAAAGCTTCCGTATCTTTCCTATAATTTAAATAAATATTAAATATAACTTCAAAAACACATAATTGTTATTTTTGTTAATTACTTACGCAGCTAAGGCTTCATGCGCCTTTATATAAATATCTATAGCTTCTTGATGGAAATCTTTTAATACAAACGTATCTTGAAATGACTTTATTTTTCTAATAGCCATCATCGATTTTCCTTTCATCTTTACATCCGTCATTTTTTGCATTGCTCCCTATATTTTGATGATAGATTTGTTTGTTACATTATATGATTATTTATATTCATTATATTACCATAAAGTAGTTTTTATTTTATATCATTTTCTGTCGTACCTCTTTAGTAATTGTAGAGAATTTTCCATCGCCTTCGGGTGGTACATAAGAATCAAATACATTAGGAGTGCAACTGATGAATATTGGTCTTTCCACCCATTCTTTTTGTGGAAACACTCCATATTCTTTCATTAATGAACGTCTTTTCTCCTTAGCCAGTTCTTTATCAGTCTCATGAAAATTAGGTAGATCTACTTTAATAACTTTTGCTTTCCTCTCTCTCTTATATTTAGGATTCCAGTGTTTCTTTATATATCTGATTTGGTTTGAAGAATGTTGAGGGTACAAAATAAGACTTAACATTACAGGTGAATTATTCTACAAAATACATTATTATTATTATTATTATTATTATTATTATTATTATTATAATTATAATTTTAACAAGTCTTGAAAATAAATTTATTTCTATAAAAACAATAAATACCTGGATATATTTTCCAAAGATACAAGTTGGACGTAACATATATTTCGCCATCATTTTGCTAATAATATCAAATTCTTTTCTTATATGACATATATTATACTAATTAGTATAAATTTAACTTTAAAAAAGTTGACGAATTGGTAACATGCGTACAAAGTATTTATTATACTTTAACTATTTCATTGCAAATATTATAGGTTAGTTCGAAAGAGACCAATTACTTCTCTTCCCACTCTTTACAAAACAGAGCACGTGAATTGATTGTGATTGGCCGACGCTTATAGTATTGAATTGATTCGAATTCATTCAAATAACAAATTCCAACTTTTTGGAGGAAAAGAAATAAACGTTATGCTTATAACATAAATATGCAATATTCGTTTATAAAATATTTTAATAAAAGCTTGTTATTTTATGTATTATAAATAAATATGAACAAGAGATAAAATATAAAATTACCTGTGTTTATAAAGTAATCCAATCAATTGCTTAAACAGAAATAAACGATTAATGAATAATATAAAATCAGTTCTTTGTTTTATTACCAAGTTACACAATTGCATAAAAAATTGAATTACGACACGGAGGAAGCGGTTTAGATGCTTCTACTCTGGAGATAGTATCTCGAATCCAACCTATATGATTAGATATACGTGTGTAAACAGAATACAAATGACTATTACAATGTCTTGTACCACCAGTTAATGTTTCACCAAGACCGCTACTAACAATACCTCTTAGATACCATAAATTTCTAGTTTGAAATACCAATCCTCCTCCGCTATCACCATCACAGACCGATGTTCCTATAATACAGATATTAATTATTAGGTATAATTTATAAATATGTTCTATTTTGCTTATCGATTTTAATTCATTACCAACCATTCGTATAGCCAGCACAAAATTTATCGTCAGTTATAAATTTTTCAGAATCAACGGAATTTATGGAAGATTTGCATTGATTAAGAGGAACATAGGGCAATACTACGAATTGTAGAATAAAACTCGATGATCCTGAATCAATATTATTCAATCCTGTATTGGTTCTACCAAATCCTGCGACTTTCCCTAAACCAGAATCAATAAAAGTTTCATCCAAACACGCTGGTAATAACAAAGCCGAGAATTCAAACGGTTTTTCGATTTTCAAAATGGCTATGTCCGAAGCATAATTTCCTTCGAAACCCAAATAATTGCATTTAATATAAATGTTTGTTACCTGAAAAATAATATATTATTAACTTCATTATAATTAATGTATTACCAAGGCACACACAATTTTAACGTTACATATTTAATTTTATATTAAAATGAATAATTTACAATTTTCCATACTTTAGCTTTATTAACGTAATTGTTGTCGTGTAGAGGAGAATCATAGTCACGATAAATATTTCCAGTTGCTACATAATATACATTTGAGTTGTCTACCCTTCGATTCGTTTGATCGTAAACGCAGTGCGCTGCAGTAAGAAGGAAATTCTCTTTTATAATTGTTGCTCCACAAATAAATTCCTTCGGTGCACCTGGAGTTCTTTCAATATATAAAGTAGCGTGCCATGGAAATTCAGCAACGTCAGGTATTGAGCCATTTACAATCAGAGGTTGTTGAGAAGTTTGGGGAGTAATTCCACATACTAAAAATTAAATTATACATTAATAAATATATATATATTATATATTAATAAATTTATATATAAATGCTATTCCTTTTCAACAATATTCTAGTATATAATACTTAGTATCATATAATATAATTGTAAATCTTAAGTAACACACACAATATTGATGGAATTAATTATCAGGTTTTGTAATTGTGAGAAATTATTTAATTTTAATTTATTTATAAGGGATATGGGGAGCTTGTGTTAATTAGCTGCTACACTTTTTAAAGCATAAAACAATAGATAATGAATTGAAATAATTGAGAAATAGATAAATTAATACCATAGATTGCGTGAAAATATGGCCCATGGTAAAAATGTGGCCCACTTATGATTTACGAAAATATTTTAATTATTTGTTATAATGACATTTAACTATTTAATAAATTTTTCATAAAATAAATAAATTAATTTAATACATCAACATTAGATTAAATATGTCATAAATAAATAAAATATAATATTATTTGATTGAAACTTGCAGCATATTGTATTAGTGACCTTATCATTTTAATCTTTTAGTGTGAATTATCTCACAAGTCGTCGTATGATTAAATTTGAAGAAATGTTTTCTAGCATGCTGAATTCTAATAATGTGTTTACAATAAAGTTTCTTTAAATATAATAAGGTGGTTTTTAAAATTATGCCCATATAGGTCTGGCTTCTTCTGGTTGTTTGGAAGTCTTAATTGAGTTAAGTATTTTAATATCAATATCAGGACTATTCGGGTTACGAGTATCTGCATGTATTATAACTTTGTCAGATAATACTTCGATTAAGGGAAAAGAAGAGTTATGTTTTTCATTATAAGCTTGAAACATTATGCTGCCACTTCCAACATGAACATTAATAATCAGTGGACCTGGAACACATCGTAATACATTTGGTGGTTCCCATTCACCCATATTGTTACATCTAACTTGATTCTGTTGGTTTGATAGATAACTTCCTTCTGGTTGATAACTGTTATGACAACTCAATGTTGCGATTGTTCCAGGCTTAACAGGAGATTCACAAGGTTCATATTTATCATTAAGTGTACACTCAGCATACCTTGATTCTGAAGACAACGATTTACAACGTATTTCTAAAATAATGAAAGAATCATTAAGAAAATAATTCAAAATATTAGAGAAAGAATAGCGTATGCATATTGATATATTCTTTGTTGTAATAACATTTAATTTATAAATCTTACCAGTACAAACTGGAATATTTTTCCATTTTCCTTCTGGACTACAAAATACATCACCTGGACTGCTTATTTGGTATCCAGGATTACAGGTATAAATTAAATAAGCCCCTATTGATAATTGTTTACCTTCCTGCACATCGCAATTGCTTTGTTGCCACGGACAATGCGTTTTATATAATTGCCGATAACCATTTGCTGGCTGGGGAGGTACTGTACAATTAATTGATATTGGTTTTAGTGGTTCTATTGGTGAAGTAGTAGTAGTAGTAGTTGTAGTTGTTACTCCGGAGCACAATTTAGGATCTTCGTCTGATCCATCTACACAATCTTTTATACCATTACACTTGAAATCACCGTCTATACAAGCCCCGTAGTTGCAACGAAATAAAAATTGAAAACAGCTAAAAATAAATGTTTATAAACAAGCAATATTATAAGATACATATTTAGAGTTTAATAATATAATTAGATTACTCGTATCCTATCTCTTACTTCAGTGAGTTACATTTAGCATTTGTTTCATCAGATTTATCTATACAGTCAAATTTACCATCGCAAAGGTCTATAGCATTGATACATTGACCATTATTGCATCTGAATTGTTGTAAAGAACATCTTCCAAAATTAGTATTATCTACTTTATTCTTGCATCTAGGTAATGTTTCGTCGCTATTATCAATACAGTCTTTGTTTCCATTACATGTCAGATCACCATCAATGCAAGCACCATAATTACATCTAAATGCATATGCAGAACACACTATATTTTCTTTAGAACATTGAAAATATGTTTCATCTGATTGATCTCTACAATCCGCTTTCCCATCGCATAAAAGTGAGCCATTTATACATTCTCCATTGTTGCATTGAAACTTTCTTCCACTGTAAAAGATATTTAAAAAATATATTTTCAAAATTTACATATATTGTTAATTTTCTACATTTTTTGACTCACCTGCATTCGATTCCTTGTTGCGTCGATACAATATTTAAAATAGCTAAGAAATAAAAGCAATTGTTTAACTATTTGTTTAGTTTTTCTTAATTAGTTTGATAAATTAATTACATATATAATATTGAATATATATTTTGAAAATAACTTATCTAATAGATTCTTAACAAATGTTTACATTAATTTACATTATTTCTCTGTCTATATATGTATATATATTATATTTAAATTATATGTTATTATTAAAATGAAATAAATATAAATAAATAGTATAAATGTAAATTAAAGTGAATACCATGTATTATTAGATACAATGCTAGATTTTAGATTAATTGTATTTTGTAGTCGTTATCTTCGTTATATATATACAAGATTCTTCTCCGAGTTCAAGGTTATTATATAGTCATACACAAAACTGGTTTTTGATTACTTCTAACATGAAGCATCATACATTCTTGGAATTAATTATTGGTATATCAATTTTATTATAAGTATTATATCGATAATATATAATATTGTGAATTAAGAAATATGTTTATCAAATGTAAAAATAATTTATACACAAAAAAATAAATATTTTAATTACTTACTGGTAAATGTGATTAAAGTGTAATACTTTCTATCTACGATTTTCATAATTAATTGAAAATTAATCAAAAAAATAAAAAAAAAAAAGAGAGAAAGAGAAGAAAGTAACTTTCTTTAATTAAAAAAATACTTGTCAAGTGAAATTCCGTATCGTGCCGTTCTCTGTTAACGACTGGAATCTACTGGGATCCTCCTGCAATGATTATGTATCAGCTTGGAATTACCCGCTTGACCAATTATTTAAATTTGTATTGGGACGATGCTATGTGTGTGTAGATTGACGATAACATACATATAGATGTTATACAATTATGTATGAAGAAATAAATTTCTCTATATAGGAATAATATAAAATTCTACACTTATAATAGAAATTCTGAGAAATACATTCAAAATCAATTTGAGGAAATTGATTGTGCGTTTATGTTATATTACATACTTAAGACATGACTTCATTTTCGTAATGACAAATTAGGTATTTTACTTTTAAATCTTATCAAAATTTGTTTGAAGGAAAATAAAATATTCTTTCATATTTATTTCGTTTTATTATTTTTCTTTTTCTTTCTTCATTTTTTTTGTCCAAAAATTCGTTCTTTTTTTTTAAAAGATTATTATTACGTTTTAGCATCTATTTACATATTCATTGTTATTAGCATTTATAATTATTTGTTATCACATACAAAATGTATCATTATAATGAAAGGAAAACAATGTATTATTAATATTATAATGCTATAGATTCTTCATCCCTGATTGAAAATGAATGCAAGGGAAGACTAGCCAGCCAGTTTAACATTCTATTATATATTATGGTTAAGGTAATGATACAGGAGAGATGATGTATTACTTTTTTTTATATCCGAAATATTTCAATAAATTATTTCAAAGGATACGTCTTTTCTACTATTTCTGTATTTACAATGTGTTTCACTATATATTCCGCTTGAAATTGTTCTACTTCCTCTTCGCATTCCTTCCAATCTAAAGTTTCGTGTATGCCATCCGATCCATATCTCTTATTATAATGATCGTAATGTACCTAAAGAAATAAAATTGTATAATGCTTTTTTATTGCAATTAGACACACAATAAAATAAAGATATTTATCTCTTACATAATTTAAAGATAAACCTAAACCTGGAACTAATGGTATATCCATTTTCTCGTCTTTAAATGCTTGTTGCAAAGAATCTTCTGTTGCCATATTTCTTAAATACGCGATAACCATAGAAATCATTTTTCTTATTTGATGCAACATAAAACTTTGCCCTTTTATTTCTATAATAGCAAATTCTATATTTTCTGTTACAAATGTTTCTATGCATTTAAATTTAATGATGTAACGTTTTGCCCGTGGATCCAATGGCTTTCTGCAGATATAAAAAAACATTGACTAACATTTTATAAAAAATATATATATGCGTAATTAATAAATGGTACAACTAACACTTTAGATGTGAAATTATGAAAGTTATGAGTTCCTTGAAAAAGTTGCATAAACGAATTGATTTTTCCCAATGTTTCTGAACTTAATCTAAAATCAGTATATGGTTTTCCATTGATGACTGATAACTCCTCTATTCGCTTTTCAATGTCACATTCCTCCCTGGATGGTAATGAAGCCATATCTTCTGGTGCAAATGCAAAAGTAGGTAGAATATATCTATATGTTCTACCACAACAATTTATTTTACTATTGAAACCTTTGGTAACGCGTTTGATACCAAACACTCTTATTTCATTTGGTAAGCAATCATTTATGCTATCTTTGTTGACGGTTTCCGCTAAAATAATTAAAATGATTAATTTAAACATTAAAGATAAAACTATAATTGAAAATTCTTTTTATAATGTATCGGTTAAGAATCATCTTACGTAGTTTGAGTGAAACTACTTGTCTAGCAGCAGATACTCCCTTGTCTGTCCGTGCCGCTCTTTGAAAATTAAATGATCTTAAATTTTCAATATTTTCCATAGTAATCAAGTTATTTTTCAACAATGCACTTAATAAATCATTTTCTATAGTTTTCATGCCAGGATTAACTTGCATGCCATAATAATCTCTACCGAGATAGCCCATCATCAAAGCGTAAGGCCTTTTTTTAATCTTTAATGATTCTACTTTTTGAATTTTTGTATCCGTATCTTCATTTTCATCTGCTCTTATCCTCTTTCTATTTTGATTATCTAAATTTGGTTCAGGGTCGATTTGAATCGACATATTTTTATAATTATTTGGACCTAAAAATAATATGATATAAGTATAATGATTCAATAACAAGTTAATGCATCACATTATTTACCTAAAATGCAGGTTATCTGTCGAAACACGTTGTAACTACTAACTACACGATTCTTTATGCAATGCAACATTTACAATAAATGTATTTTTAAAAATTATATTAATAAAATATAAATATTTTGTTTTAATATTTACGATGAGTCTTTTTATACTTTTAAATATAAATTAAAATGCATTGTTAGGTTTTTTACGAGTCTTAACCTTTTCTTGTTACTTTCATCATTTAAATTGATTATCCATAGAAAAAATATTACATAGATGTGTGCATGTAAATTTGATAGATTAGAGAAATTTGTGTTTTTTCATAAGAAGAAAAGAAGGAAATATATATTTTTTCTACATTTCTTAAAAAGTTGTTAAAAATTCTAATATAGCGAATTAATTAAAAACAATTAAAGTTGCTCATCTCTTACGATTTCAAAACATTTCGTTTTTTATCGATTTTATCGAATTATCGCTAATATCGATTGATCGCATTTGATTTCATCTAAAGATTTTTACAAGTTGCAATTATTTTTTTAAATTTAATTAATTGCCTGCATATTAGAAAAATATTATAGCTTGAATGAATATATTAATTTTATATATATTAACGTTAAAAATATGACTGATTTATGCTACGATTTTAATAAATACAATTTATATAAGAGACATAAAAATATAACTACATTTTCATTGATAAATGTGATATTGATTAATGAATAATGAGAAAGATTTATCAAAGTATAATTATATATATACAATATATTATAGAAAAATCTATGAATATGATATATACATTTAATACTAAATATTATCTGTCAAGACAAAAAGAAAGATTACTTTTTACATCAAATTAATCTTCCTCTTGAATACATTTCTCTACTAATTCCCTTAAATTTGGATTTTCCATAGCGGCTGCTATTCGTTCCTTGTCATTTATTTGTTTGTTTACTGCAATCAAATGAAAAACATTAAATAATACAATGTAAATTCAGATTCATTTTTAATAATAATTTAATATTATCATATAAAAGGAATAGGATATATTTGAATACATGAAATTAATTAATTCGCACTTTCTTGTTCGGTTGAATGTGTTCCCTCTTTAATAAAAATATCTAATTTAAATACTGCTACTAGATGCCTTTCAAGTTTTACTCTTATACATAATCCTATGAGCGTTGCCAATGAACAATGTGGCACCGTAGGATTAAATTCAACGCGTATTACTGAAATACCACTGGGAGTACTTTCACAAATATTAACGCAATCTTCATATATTATATCAAGTTGTTCTAAGGTTTGCGGTTTCTCCGGATCCTTGATGGTTCTCAACAAATCTAAGAATACGACAAAAATATATATCTATAAGATTAATTTATACAATTTTAATTTCTTTATGATGATATATAAAATAATACGAAAAATAGGATTAATTCCAAATATTGAATAATTGTTTATGATGAAAAACAATCTTATAAATTGTTTGTTTGTATTACATAACAATTAAACGTTTTGAATAAAATCAAAGTGATTAATTGTAATTAAAACAAAAAATCATAATAAAGCAAACTCACCGTAAACGGATTCTTTTAATTCTAAATCTGTTTTCAATGCAAATGCAGTTTGATTTTTAGAGTTTACGACATCTGTCGTTCCCATGATCGTTTCTGGGAGTATACCATCTTTAATCTTCAAACCAATTGATAACTTTCGAAAAAATGATAACATATTTATCCACACTTAATATTGTATAATAGCATACTGTAAATAATTAGTACTTATAAATAATTCTTTTTAAGGTTATGTTTGGAAATTTGTTAGCAGTCAGCCAAACGTATACAGCACCATCTTACGTGACACAAGTAATATGTTTGTATAAATTTCTTGGTTTTTTATCAATTTACTTACATATTTTATTTATCTTTAAATTATATATAAAAGCTTAAGATTATAATCGTTAGTTATTTAATAAATAAATATATCTTATCAAAATGTAAAACAAACACTCCTTTGAAAAAATATAAAACAACGTGTATGAAATACTAATTCACATATTTTCAGCATTTATTAATATCTTTTCCTTTTTTATAGGGGTTGATGTCTTCGAAGGTAAATATTTTAGTGGGGAAGATTTTGGAGGTGAAGGTAGACCTGTAATAGATAATATATATATATAATTTGTATGCAGTAAATAAAAATAATATTTGATTTTTACATACCAGTTACACGTAAATTTCTTAATCGTTGTTCCATATCTTCTAATTCTTCTTTATTAGTTGTGTTATCGTTATTTGTATCATGTACATTTAGTTCTTCTTTATTGTTTGTCAACTTATTGTCGTTATCATTATCATTATCATTCATTAATTCTGCAAGTTCTTTTTCTAAATCTGAATCCGATACAAAATCAGCGTTCGGTAATACTTCTGATAACGTGGATTGTACATCTTTACAATTTTCTAAGGCCTGAAACATTATATAATAAAATGTAAAATGATATTGAGATTCTATTTCTAAATAATTAAAAAATTTCTATAATAATAATACCTCATTTAAATCATCTATAACATTTCTGACTTTTTGCTCCGTTAATCCATTATTTTCGAATTGTGACAACAAATTAGAACCAAGTTTGAAAGCATCGATCACATTAATGTTCGAATGCGTATCCTGAATGCTTAATATAAGAGTACGTAAATTTCCAAGTACGTTCGCACGTTTCTCGATTATTTTATCTATTTCATTTTTTTTTCTCAAATGAGTTTTAGCTACTTGTCGCATTTTCTTATCCAAATACGCTTTAACTTTATCCATAGCGAGCATTTTTTCTTTCTCCAATAATTCAATTTCTTTTTCGAGTTTATTTTCTTGATTCAACAGTTTGTACAATGTCTTTTCTACTTCCGAAAT